GTGGAGGGGCAAAAGGGCAATCTTAGGCAAAAACACAAAACAGTAGAAAAATCCATACACTTGCGTTATAGTTCCTCCTTCAGTCGATGTTAGTCCGATGCCGACTAGAGATTCGAAGATATAAATCCGACTAGTGGATAGACGTGGCAGCAGCACAAGCAGAGGCAGCAGCAAAACGAAAGCAGCACGACGCGAGCGCGTAGAAATTGTTGTATTCAAAATTTGTGAATTTAAACAAATGGTACAAAATGATCGGTAACGGAGATGATAAAAACAAAGATACAATACAGTGTAATCACAACCACTACAAGCTCTCTTCACCTTTGCCTTTACTAGCGGTGTACGACGGATTTGCTCCACGTCATCGTTTCTCTCCAATTTTGCGACCGAGGGTGTCCTATTAAACGCTCTCGAGGGCTTTCAGGGTTCTAGTGTAGAGCTTCTTCCAGGCAATCTCGTGACCGATTTAGATGATGATGATGATGCTGTCTTTCTTGGTGATGACGCACAGAGCACACAGGCTGTTCCTAACCGCTTGGCAATTAGAGCATCAAAATATGGCATGACCTTTGCCCCCTACGAAATGCAACGTTCTGGTCCTGGAGTGGCATTCACCTGCCCCGTTGCTCACTCTTAAAGGTATGCAGCTTGAACAAATGGACAGCTTTGTTTACCTGTGAATCTGTGTCTCTGCTGATGATAGCATTGGACGAGAGATTTTTCTCCGTATTCCTAAAGCCCGTTCGGCGTTCGCCAACCTGAGGCGTCTGTGGCGACGCCATGACGTTTCACTATTGGTAAAGGGCAGGGTCTACAATGCTTGTGTTCGCGCGGTACTGCTGTATGGGAGTGAGTCCTGGCCGATTCATGTGAATGACTTGCGTCGGATTTCGGCCTTTGACAATGGATGTCTGCGGAGAACAGCTCGAGTGTGGTGGATGAACAACTTTTGCAACGATGATGTTAAACGCCGCGTCCTGGATAACATGGGCTTTCTAATTGACAGACTAGTACCGCTGCTCCAACTGAGATGGCTGGGCCACTTTTTACGCATGCCATGCGAACGGCTGCCCCGACGCACTCTTTGCTTGTACAGGACCAGGCTTGAAGAAATCACCAGGAGTTCAGCCTATCACGTGGCTACAAACGATTAAGGCGCTGACTTCCAGCTTAGCTGTCATGAGTCCCGTGCATCTTCGAGGCTGGGGGATCAAAGATGAAGCACACCTCTGGCTGGAAACTCTTCCGGACATGACACAGGACCTGGTCCAGTGGAAAATGTGTATGAACATGTCTTGATTTTCTTGGCGTACATCGCAAACATTAAACAGACAAAAAAGACAAAACGGCATGTTGAAAAAAGCAAGAAAAATCCAAGCTATTTTTGTAGCTTACCAATTTTTATTCTTTGTAGCCTTTGTAGTTATTACTTCCTTATCGTGGTTTTCGACTGCGCCGAAGTAGATTGTGTGCAGTGCATACTTTTACTGAGAACCTTGAGGTGGCTCGGTCATGTGTGGCGTATTGATTCGACGCGGATAGGGAAGCAGTTGTTATGTGGTCAGTTGGGTATTGGTAAGCGGCATGCGGGGAAACCGACGCTTCGTTACCAGAATATGATCACGTTCTAATGTTGATTTCAAGCCTTGGGAATCGAAGTCGATTGATCGGCGTGCATGGCGCAATCTTATCTCCAAGGCAGTTGCCGAGTTGCAGGAGAAACCCATATGCATACGGAAGCGATAGGTGCCGATGGAGTAAACTCCATTGACGTCGAGCGCGTGGTGCTGTAGCACATTCGGTCGCGAGTGCCTAAGTCAGACAGGCCTAGTAAGCCACGAGCGAAGCCACCTGGAACCAGCATCGAAACAACGACGGGTCCTGCTGAGAACTTAAGGAGAACCAGCGCAGCGTTTTTAGGTCCGACTCATTCGATTTACTAACTGCGTGTTTGCGTGCTGAGTTATTTTATTTCGGGGGATCGGTTTGCTATATTTTGTTAATACTCACTTTGTTACTTCTTTGCAATATCTATCTGACTAATATTCTGTCTACTTACACACGTATCTTTCACGAAAGTTGGTTAACTTCGTTAATTTATATTCACCTTTGCTCCCTTTTTCTGCCATTTCAAGTTTAACGCGAATACGTTGATAACGAATTTACTTCATATGCTACGGCATATCCGAATGACCTATCCGATTTATCTTATTTGATATCGTCATTCCAAGTGTTTTGCTGATACTTGACATCCCCTGTGTGGATGCGTCAGATTTGTATGTTGACAAGGTGCGTATTTATCTATAACCCACCACCTCGTCCATACTGGCTCCAGGAGACAGTTGGTCGTTGCTAGATGAGACAGGGTGCACGTTCCTCCTGACGGTGTTAGGCTCAAAGAATGGTTCTATGTACATAGGTTGGGTGCGCTTGCTTCCCTAAATACAACGTACTTGTGTTTGCCTGTGAAGGAGTGTAGGCCGGCTCCGTTGCTGAAACTTGGCTCCCAACCGCTTACATTCAGATCTTCTTCCTTCGGGTTTACACCGGGTATTGGGTTTGTGGATGGAGCTGTGGGTGGTGCAGCGCAAGCCACCCATGGTCCCTATGTAGGCGCAGGCATCCTGTGGCTTCCCTATCAACGCCACAGGGACAGGCAAATCCGGAAGCGGATATCGCCTATTATACATATATATATATATATATATATATATATATCCGTGCCCCATGCTGAGGTTGATGTTGCATTCTTTATGCTTCTTCACCGCAGTTGGGCTAAACCAACGTACACTTAAACTAGCTCTTTCTAAGCCGGCTAAATTTCATTCCACTTTATTTGGTTTGCTCTGCCTACCTGAATAATCTTCTATTGACTGGCCAAGTTGCTTACACTAATTGCGCTTATCTTCGGTAACTTTGTTGCGTTTGTAGCATTTTTACGTAACTTGTAGACATTTTTTCCTTATCGCTGATTCGTTGCTAACCAACTTACTTCATATGCTAATTTAGCGAAGAGTTACGTCACCGTATCTATATGCATTATTGGATTTGTTTTATTTCATTTTGTCGTTTCAGGTGATTGGCTGTTGCGTGATATCCCCGGTGTGGCTGCGCCTGATGTGCATGTTGATAAGGTGCCTACCTGTCTATTACCCACTACGTCGTTCATACTGGCTCCAGTAGACAGTTGATCGTTGCTGGAGGGGACGGGGTGCATGGTCCTTGTGGCCGTGCTAGGCTCGAAGAGCGGTTCCATGCACTCAGTGTGGAGCGGACTTCGGTCCAGCCACCGCATTGTGCGCGTTTGATTCCCCAACACAGCGTGCTTGTGTAAAGTGCCTGTGAAGGAGTGTGGGCCGGCTCCGTTGATGAAACGTGGCTCCCATCCACATGCCTCCCGGTCTTATTCCTTCGGGTTTACACTGGATATGGAGTGTGTGGTTGGAGCTGTGGGTGGTGCAGCGCAAACTACCCATGGTCTCTCTGTAGACTCAGGCGTCCTGTGGCTGGCCACAGTGACAGGCAAATCCGAAACCGGATGCCGCCAACCATATATATTTATATAACTTTAAATGATGAAATTTATTCTTCTTGACCGTTATCGCTTGGCCTCCTCTCCTCTTCTTCCACCCACAGCCTCGGCGCGGAAATAAGGCACGTTGCGGGAGTCGGTGGGCCGACATGCACGACATTCATTTACAGCTAATCCACTTTTGGTTAATTCTGCTACTGCACATAGAGTAAAGGTCTACGTTTATACGAACTCTGCAGTATCGAGAAGTCTTTGGTACGCCCATATTAAAGCTGATGCTGGAGAAACGGTTTGCAACCATCGGTATGTGTTTCCTCGTTATTTTTTGTTACTTTTGTTCGGATTTACTTTAAGTCCATGGCTTTCATCCTATCAGTGCTCGTGGTACCGCTACTATTTGCAATCGTTGTGCACTGAGTTATCTGCCCGATGAATGTTTGTGCCAGCACGTTCCTAGTTGGGTACATCGTAATGCATCTTGCACTTTGGACCTATCAGTTTTACTTTTGAGTATGCCGAGATAATTTGCTGTCTCGAGTAGTGTAGCCTTTCAATTTGCGTCTGTTGCAAGCCCTTTCAATCCACTTAATTGTTTACTTAAAGCAGTGATCCGGAGAGGATCAGCAAAATTCGTTTTTTAGGGCAGCGGTAGTTTTTGCGTTTTGCTTATTCACTGCTAAAGAATATCAAATTTATCCATTAGCTTAGGCCTCATACGCTCTTCCACTTCAAATACAATACCTTTTACTTTTTATTAACATGTCTCAACTTTTCGTTTAGCATGGTGGTGTTTTCATTTTGCGTCTCATGCATTGCTTTTATTGAGCGGAACTAAAGTTATTAATGAGTTAAGATCTGTGGCTTTTAACTTCTTGAACAGTTCGCTTCGTGCTTTGTTGGCTCTGTATTTCTGACGATCAATCAGGTCCAAGTCCGATTCTGGTAAGAAGATGCACTGATTTCGTATGCACGTAGTAATATATATCCATTTATACTACAGTAGTCTGAACATCATTTGCCAAAAGTTTCGGAAAAAATGTTACATCTAGTTTGAAACTATTGTTAATTGTCCTAATATTATAGTTTGGTGTAGTCTGGATATTGGCTTGTGGTTTGTGCTCAAACTAGTACAACTGGAAAGCCTGGTGTAAACTGCTTACGCTCGCCTATGTGTAATTTACTCTAGATTGTGCTCCGGTTTAAATTTCGTAGACCGATTTCCATGGTTAGACCATCAGCCATGTTAAAAAGTTTAAAATACTGCGAAACATTAGCACCAAACAACCGCACTGCCATGCTAGTATCTTCTAACTATTACAGATGCTAATGCATGCTTGACAAACCTTATGCTTGCTCGTTCGATAACGCACTTCAGTTTATCAACCAAAAAACCTGTTAATTTTAGGTAATGGTATCTTGAATAACATATAAGTAACCGACTGTCTACGCGTATTAAATGGTGTCATACCTAAAATGGCAGCGCAGCAGGGCGATAATGACCAGAAAACACCCGGGCAATAGTACTCACAGAGTAGCAAGACGGAATGGAAGCGCTTGTGCTCCCTCTATGTCGCTTGCAGTCCATCAGTTAAATAGTTGTAAAAGGTTGAAATTACTTACAGTTTTTTTTGAAAGGTAGGATTCATAAACAAGGTAACCGGCGCTATTCCAATACATTACTATAGGTAAAGTTTCCTTGGTCATCTTCATATATTTATTATATGCACACAGGTTTCTGTGTATGCTGCTTTGCATCCCGCATAGATATCTTCTTTTCTGGCTCCCGTTATAATTGGTATAACTTGCTTTTTTTGTAGCCGAACAACTGCCCATCCCTCTGCAAGTTTAATGCTTCCGAGTGGTCAGCAACTCTCAGTCAAAAGTATGTTCGTTGTCATGTAAACAGCAGAACTGTTAAATAAATAAATAATAAATAAATAATTTATTCTCGACTATGCACATAGGTTAACATTTGACCTGCGTTGACAACAACGAAAAATTTAAATGGGAACAGTAGTTATTAATAGGTAAAAAGTTGTAGACCTAACGTGTCCTGAATGTTGGCAATGAAATTAACATAATCCTACTACATAAGTGTACCAAAAAACATGCGCATATTCATAGGGATAAAGAAATTGCGTTTTGAATGAGAGTTATGGGAGTGCTGTAGTAAGACAAAACCGACTAAAACCTTGAGGGGTTATACTCATAACAAATAACAAGCAGATGTTTCCCTCTGTAAGAATTTGCAGACATTACTGAGGGTAATGATTCCAAAGTGGCCGCTTACTCTGGACAACCGTTCAAGTAACTAAGTGTAATATATGCAATTAAATATCCAGTCGCCTTTTGAAAGCAGCTAATATGATGACACAGACAACTGAGTATGATAGGGCGTTCCGTGTTTGGCAGACCTGGAGGGTTACGAAATTAGGTCGATGGTCTCGACGCCTGTATTGTAGATTTAGTTGCAGGCTATTGCCTCTAAATTTGACGTTCTGTCCATGTTTTAAAAGGGGGCATCACACGTGACAGTTTGCTCAGCTACTGGTAGCCTAATATGAAGGCTCCATGTAGCCGCCGGTAGTGTCCACTAAACATACCGGCTGTACTCAATCTTTGTTAGTTCGCGGGGGGCAAATCTCTTGACAAATTTTATCGGTCGACGTTGGGGCTTTTGGAGCGCCGCAACCTCCTGCTTCAGCCAACTATGCTAAGGTTGGATTACACAGTAGACGTGGGGCGCACGGATGCATTTAGCGTAAGAGAGAAAATTGATGAATATAAACTTCCGAATGCCCTCTGCGAAGGCGACATGCTGATCAGCACTTTTTGTAGCTGCTTTTGGCTCTTTTGTTCAACCGAGATATTCCTGTACCAGCACAATGATAGCACGTTCCTGAGGTCTTGTATCCAAATCGTGCTTCCCTACTTTGTAGATGCAGGCATGGGTTGACGGATGTGGACAAGGGGATACTTGTCCACATTAACTGGCACTTCATTTCTCACCAACTAATGCCAGGTCTTTGCCAAGTAGAGCTGGAGTAATTAAGCAATATAATTCCATGTTGCGAAAGTAACTAGGAAAGGACTAACCGAAAGCTTAAGTTACGTGTCGGGTAGGAGCTGTGGAATGTTTGGTACTGCTATCCAAGAACATCTAACTGACGTTCGGAACCCTCAACTTTAGATTCCCTAACATCATGCTCCGGAATGGAGTCCGCACGTCAAATAACCCGGTGCGACAATTGAGGTTCTGTCCTTCCCAGGTCAGAACACCGTTTGTGCAACATCAGTAGGTGGCCTTGGAGCCTAGTCAGCCCAGCGGGAGTAAATAGCCGGGAGAATTCTTGACCGAGCTTACCCGTTAGGATAAGGTAAGTGAGGCTCAGGTCTCCTATAATGCTCTCGTAGCGCATTGAGTACATCCCCAAGAAATTCAAAAGTTCAGGATAACGGTACTTTCTTAAGCCCTGCACAAACCCTTTACCCACACGAAAAACCCTCTCCAGTTCCATTTTGGCTGCATAGCCGAATCACTTCCCTTGATGCCAGCTGGGTGGTTCAGGTCAATCCAGCTCCAGCGAAATGTTAAATAAATGAATAAATGGTATATTCTCTGTAAAACGAGACACACCTCTAAAAGGCATGATCAAATATGCGTACAAGCATAGCATCTTTAGAATATTAAAACATTTCGGTGCAATGAAAGGAATAAACGAAAAGATGTAGTTCATATGAGCGAGCATATTGTCAGGTAATAGTCAGATCAAGGACCATGATGGCGCTGTGGCGCGCAAAAACTGTTGCGTCAAGATAAAAGTGGGGGTTAAATTTGCCATGTAGTGATCCATGAGCACAGGAGCCCAAACAAGGTTTAGTGCAACCAATGACCATTACGAAGACGGGATGATCGGTACTCCACTAAAGCATTCTTCATAGTAAAATCAGTTGCACAGGTTGGATGTAGGAGGCTGAGGCCTGCGTCAGTGTGAAAGGCATAGCTGTGACTTTATTTTGTGGCGAGTCACATCCGCCACGTTGCAGTGTTGTTAAGCGGACATTTGTGGCTTTTTATAGGGAGAACGCTTGTCAGGCGAAAACCCACCACGTCCTGGAACACTGTCGTAGATTCCGTTGAACTGTAGTGCAAGTCGGCTATGCACCGTATAGACCGAATTTTTCACTCTATTATTCGCAGTCGGTTGCCAGCCAAAATTCTTCTTTGGTTTGCAAGATGGCTTAGTACTGAACCGGCAATTGTCGTTGAAGCCAGTCAATGATGTAAAAGAGTCACAGTTGAATGATAATGATGCGGGTGAGTAACCACATTGTTAATAGAGGCCGGATTTTTCTATTATATTGTCCGGCACGCAACCCGTGTCCAGCTATCCATGCTGGACTTGTCATAGGGACGGTGTGTGCAGTTGTTTCTTGTGTCTGAATATGTCCATAACATGAAAGATGCAATTCTCCGCAAAGTGGACTAGTAATTCCTTCAAATGTAAGTGTAATTGTCTCCATGGCCAAGTTAGAACTGCATGAAAGATCATCGGAAAAGCCGCTTATAAGCGCGCAATGCTGTCCGTGAAATGACATCAGAAAAGCTCCAGGTGATTGGAGAATCGGAATGTTTGAGGCATTGAAGGTAATCACGCCAGAATTGTCAGTCTTCGGTTGTGGAACAGTGGATCCATGTAACCACATTATTCCAGGTGAGTAAATTGTTCTTTTGTGAGTACTAGGCAAGCTAAACCCATTTGTTTAGACCCCGTGGTAATAGCTTCTCCAGAATGGCGGAAAGAGCTCCATTGGAACGACGTGTGGGTTCTCCATCTCCCGGAGAAAGGATCAAGCATGTAAACCAGCTGGCTATTGAGGGTGGGTCGACCAGTCCCAGTGGATAAAGCTTCATCTTTTGGCGGATGTATCTGTGGAAATCTCGGGAGAAAACGGGAAACGGACAAGAGGCAGCCAAACAGAAAGACAGCAATGAAGCAAGAAGCACAAACACAGACTGGTGGCGCGCAACGGTGCCTATGATACATTAAAATTTATGTAATTTTGTTTAGTATACATGATTTGCAAGCGCGTTCTTTACATCACGTCGCTGGTGTGACTCAGACTACAACTACTAGGTAGAACGAAGGATCTGCACGCGCAGGGTCAATGGACGGATACAACAAAGCGTTTTGACAAAGTTAAGCGATTAATATGATTGTTGGAGAGTAACAGGTAAACCGATGATGATGATAGCAGACCGAATGCGAGCGGCATCTTAGGTGAAAGTAAGGACAACTAGGTTGAGACGGAATGCGGGAGCAACATAGGTAAAGCAACGTTCCAAGAAGAAAAGGAAATTTAAAGAATCAGCTATGAGCGGAAGAATGCGGACGGCAGTGCGAAGTGTAACTCGTGAGAGCAATAAGGAGACGATAGTCAGGATGAGAAAGGTTTATTACTAAAGTTTGGTGAAGCCAAGGACGCTCTCGTGCGAAGTATGAATCGATCAGTTCTGAAAAATCACTGGTGATATCCCGGTTGTCTGAGAGAACTCTGAGAGCCGGAGACCGAACAGGCGAGACTTGAATAGCCGACACATCCTTAGGCCTCTTAGTAGTCCCAGAGACTTTTACTGATCTGATGATGACAAAGAAGAACATGGCACTAAGCGTCGGTCGTCTGATTGAAGGTTTGAGGGTACAGGTTACTGAAGGAAGTGCCTATATTAATAAAGGGTAAACAAGTCTAGCGGGCTGTCAATGTAAGCAAGACATAGTTTTGGGTCTACAGAGATTAGATCGGTATATCTTGCTAGTCTGAAAAAGATCAAAGGAGCAGACCGGTCAGTTGCGACTAAATTATTACAGGGCACTGAGAGTAGGCAGACCGATTAGAGAAAAAATGAAAGTAGAGAGCGCCATAAGGAGAGGAGACGGTCCGGATAGAGAGAGGTTTACTTTTAAGGTGTGGAAAACTCCATGGGGCTTGAGAGGTAATGGAGGCAGAGCATTCTGAATTCTCATCCAATGCCGGTAACATCACGGCAGTCTGAATGAATTCGGAGAGCAGGGGACCGATCAGACGAGACTGGATTAGTCGGCACATTGAGATTAAGTCGAACAGTTAAGGTGGGAAGCTAAATAAAGTGTCAGCGGAGACGGATAGTTTTGGGATACAGGAGGCTACATGAATATAAGGTATGCAAGTCAGGCAGGCTAGCAAAGCGAGAGAAGTTGTGTTGGTGATACAGAGCCTTAAACTACATTTCGCTAGTTAGGAATCAGTCAGAGGAGTTAATAGGGCAGGGCTTTGAGAGCTCGCTATGCGGATGAAGAAGAAATATAGAGGCCGCGATGAGGACGGAGTCGAGAGTTTACGTTTACAGATAAGAAATGCGTGGTAATGGTGACAGAGCATTCAGTCTTCCGAGCATGGCAGGCGGCGTCGCAGAAGTAGGAGAGATGAAGACCGATCTGCCGAGGTTGGACTTGGTCGGCGCATTGTGACTGAGTC